CCTGAATTTTTTTTTATCCAATGAAACAGAGACAAAAAATACAATCTCCCACAGAAGTATCTGTTTAATGGCTGAGTACAGGAAAAATCCTACTTTTGAAATATATCTCCTTAGCGTAGATTATTGGAGGTACCTAGAGTACCTAGGGTACCTAGGGTACCTAGAGTACCTGGAAGTACCTAGGATAAAGTTTTACATAAGAGGTCTGAATGTTTTACCCTGTGTTCTTTTTCAAATTTCAATCCGTGTGTATCTTAGTATATTCATAACTAAAACTATTTTTAGTTCTGAAAGCTTGGGTATACAGTGCAATTTCAATGGGGACGTACTTCATATACTGTACGTGTTTCCCATTTCGCAAAAAATGAATGAATAGTGATTACACTATGCAAGGTAAAGGGGCGCCGAAGGCGCGACCAATACTAGGTCAATACTAGCGAGTATTCAATACTAGCGATTCAATACTAGCGAGTTAGTATTGAATATCTCTCATATGAATAAGAATACCTTTGGGCTTTTGGTGAAATATGTTTGAGTCAAGAATACTGGAAAGTAGACTTGCATGCATTTTAAAATACCTGTACAGGGTGACCCAAAAGTCTGGACACATAGGTAATATTACTAATATTCTGGGTTTTTTTTCCCCAGATTGAATATGAGTTTGTTGAAAGAAGAACGTATTGAATTGGTACTGCTGAGTTGGACGCATCGCTAATGCTAATGCATCGCTAATGATGGGCGCCATGTTGAAAATGTTATTGAATAAAATTACTACATTTTCGCCTATGTGTCCAGACTTTTGGGTCACCCTGTAGATTCATTTCAATTGAAAGTGACTTCCTTGAAAGTTTAATTGATTATGTGGAAAGGGACAATTACTCTATTTGGGATGTGGCTACATGAAATGTAGCTCCAGCCTTGGAAGGACATTCTAGTCTAATAATGCAGCTACAATGCCTCTCATTTTACAGGATGCCTCACATAGATGTACCCCCAACATAAGAATAATTATCAGACACTTGTAATGTCAAGAGTGTAATGGTTCGTAGCATATTGGTTTTAAAAAAATTTCCTTCCTGTGGCATACAATTGGAAGAAGTTTGTTTTCTTGATTGAATAGAAAGAGTAACATTTTGTGAGGTTTGTGAT